AGAATCCCCAACCATTCTGTCACAAGACGAATCCATCCAATATGACGGCTGATTATCTTTCTCCTGTAACCATTTTCGTGCCTGACCGTCTACGTGATGCTAACTTCTCAAACGGTGAACCGATTGACGCAACTATGTTTCATTTTAAAGTTGATGAACTAACTTCAAAAGAAGATCAGGAGATGGATGATATGGCTACAATGGAATTGGACAAACAACACTCAACTTATTCTAGACATTTAATCCTCCATTACATCTATGGTGAACTGAACAGTTCAGGTGAAGTCTTCCATAAGGACAGAACACGAATCGTGACATTTTAATGCACACCACATACAAACAACCAATCCCATCAGAAATCCTCATGATACTACAAACACGTAAACTCAATACGTTTTCCACTTTACATACAATCGATAGACAACAACTTGCAATATACGGACAGTCAGGAGAAATGAACTGCCTGAATATCTCTGTCGACACCACAGTAAACTATGAACAACAACCATCTGCTTTCATACCTTTGAATTCTAGGCATCTCTACACACCGAAAGTGTAAACCCTTACTTTGAACCCTATGTTCCTACTCCAGTTCACTGGGTAGCAAGTGTGATTTTTTCCAAGATACACTTCGAACTACATATCAAATCAAACTTCTCAGTGTAAAATCAATCAACAAACCGTCACATCACTAGAAAACCGAAAACACTATTAGACATTTCCTGACAGTAGAAGTTCATCCGTGGGTCAGTCAAAAAGAGTGCCTTTCTCAGCTATCCGCATAAACCAATCTTAAGATTCTCGTCAGAAGCATCACCATCCCACTCATTCTTACTGAGCATTGCTTTGAAATTCACAGCACTTCGGGCTTCGTCTACTAATCGCGAATATAAGAAATACCAGAAGTCAGTTGCTTAACATACTTAATTCAAACAGGACACCGAAACAAAACCTTGCATGTTTAACTTCACAACCACAACACTACGCTCAGTAGAAATATAAGCGCCTCAGAAACATCCAAACTTCAATACAGCCATTAACACAATAAAGCCTGAAGATCTCATTTCTCACACAAAAGTAACATTAAGCTCCATAGATTAGACAAACGATACACAAGTTCAAGCACACAATCTATGTCAACACACTGAAACATCAAAAAACGACAAACAAAACTCATCAAAACCACAAATGTCAGCCCGAAAAAGCTAATTTAACGACAGAAGCATAGTAATTGCCAAAGCATATAACATTAACTCAACAGCAGTTATGGACAAATCAGATTACATTAAGAAAGTCAATCAACAAATTCAAATGCATCCCTATGAGGAGATTACGAAACCCACAGACATGCTTATCAATAATAAGGATCAAAACTCCAACAGCTGGTCTAATACACCGAATGAAGTCACCTCTGGGTGAGTCGACATGGTTTAACTTAGTGACCAAGACTAGTATTCCTAGTAGAATGCACGGCATTACTGTCAAAATTCATGGGACAGGATAATCTGCTAGGCCAATGGTCGACTTTAGGAACACTACAACATATGAACTATCCAAATATTTGGCATCTATATTATGCCCGATTAGATATCGGTCAGACTGCAGGCTGATTAACTTATTTGAAATGAAGTTGAAGCCAGGGGAAATTCAAATAGCAAAAGATCTACCTAGAGCTACAATTATCCCATCCGAAATGACTACAAGTGGGTTCAGTCGAATATGTATGTAGTTCAGTTAGGAGCCTAACTAGTTAGTCAGAGGATTTAAGTGATGAAATAGAAAAATCGAGAAAACAATACCAGTGAACAACTACCCACCAGGTTTTATTCAAGTGTGTGATATAGATGATGAAAACATAAGTGATAACGAATTCAAAACATCGACAGCACTACCATGTAAGGAAGGAACATCAGAAGACCTACATAGGAGTCTTAATACCACTGAAACTAGAGGGACATTTAAAACAACCCATTTACTCACAGACAAACTTTGTCACCTTCAACACTCAATAGACCTAATTAAGCGAAATACGATTAACCAGTAGACGAGGGTTAGTTATGTTATCAAAACATAGAAATCCCGCCAGGTCTAGAAACCTTGGCCACGCTCAGTTGAGTAGTCTCGAGAAAAGTTCCCCCATTGTTATGCATCCACTTGCGTGCTATCACACAGTAGGAAGGGACAGAGGAAATGTATTACCATAGAATAAATTAATTTCATGAAAGCACACAGTGATGCGGTATTATTTTCTGATGACGTTGCGACCACAATTTATTGCTCACAAACATTACGATGCTCACATAACTCTCAGACATTGTCCGTATGATCCCATTATTTCTTATCCTCTGATTTTATTCGTACTAATATTTCTCATATCTCTGATATTGGCGTTGCGTTATTCCTATTTCGTGTGTTGTGTTGTGCTAGGCGTTGATTCCATCGACAAGGATCCACTGGGCGATCAACTTCTCCTTCCACTTACCTATATTACTTTTATCACTCTAGTGTTTGCACACAAACTCAACAACAAAGGGAATAAAATCTTTACTTCGGTCAGGAAATAAACTACGACGATTAGTTATATTAGATGGTTGGAAGCAGTCAGTATGTATATATGTATAATGCATATTATAGCCAGTGGTGAGGATCTAATTGATAAGTAAATATTTCCTCACTCAATCCTTTTGTCATCCAAATGTCCAAATGGGGATTTTCTTTTTATATTTAAAACCAAGCGTCACTGTCTTGGTTGGATACAGTAAAAACGATGTCAAGCCTCAAAACAACCCAACAATGGATGGAGGATGACAATACAAATACGCTTTCCAATCCACCCTTTCAAACTGCTTCCAACAAATGGCTATTTCGTCATGTATTCAATAGTGCCAGTTAAAATCACCATTATTTGGACAACGTTGATCGATGCAAACTCACTCAGACCAGACTGCATGATATTCAACAAGTTCGTCTCCTGTCCATGTAAGTCTGTCAAATGCTGACTGAATTTATCATTTCTTTTAAAAAGCTCATTTAATGGAGGGAGAGAGAGAGAGAAAACAAGAACTATAAAGTTCACCACGTGCACACCGAGGGCGTGGCTATCATGATGTCACCAACGGCAACGAAGGCCCTGATGCAATGGGAGGCGATCTCGCCCAGGATAATGACCGCCAGATTCAACTCCAAAGGAAGGAAAGTGTCAGTTATACAATGCTATGCACCGACAAACAACGCAGACCTCGAAAAGAAAGAAGAATTCTACAGACAACTACAGGCAACAATGGACAATACTCCAGTCGGTGACATTAAAATACTAATGGGAGACATGAACGCCAAACTGGGACCAGACAACACAGGAAGGGAACTCATCATGGGTAGAGAATCTCTCGGAGAAATGAATGAAAATAGAGAACTCTTCGCCGACTTCTGCGCTTTCAATGAACTAGTGATTGGTCGCAGTGTATACAGACACAAGGATATCCACAAGGCTACATGGGTGTCACCAGATGGGCGAACCAAAAACCAAATTGACTTCATCTCAATCTCAAGGAAGTGGAAGCGCAGCCTGCTGGACACGAAAGTAAGAAGAGGAGCAGACGTTGGCTCAGACCACTATCTCGTACAAGGGACAATCCAAATCAAATTAAAAGCTTTCAGAGAAACAGGAGCTGCAGATAGACCACAAGCCAAGTTCAACACTCAAAAACTGAAGGACCAGGACACAAAGGACATCTTCACTGCAAGCATAAAGGACAAAGCTGAGAAACAAATCAACACTGGCGAAGAGGCCAGCGTCGAAAAGCACTGGAACAATTTGAAAACAGTGTGGAGTCAAACCTGCATGGAAGTGCTAGGCAGAAAGAAGAGACAGGACAGATTTCCAATGAAACTGTTTTGTTCTTTGTAATTACTATTCCTTTGTCTCACACCTCTGTTTACTGTCTATATTATGCATTTCCCCTACTTTCTTCTCTTCCTTTGTGTGCTACATGGAGTGTGGCGACTTGAACTACCGCACATATGTGCAAAGTTCTATGTCGAAAACCGAACGACCTGGTGACTGATAACTCACCAACAGCATCGAGAAACTCAAAGATAACTAACTGCCTAACTTGGTGCGATCATGCTGTGTGCCAAACGCACTCTAAAATCACACTACCTATTGATCTGCTTCTTTTCTGATGTAGTTCTGAGATGGAGTTCATTGGCTCAAACACTCAGTCAATGAATTCTGCGTTCAAATCTCACTCCACCTACTTCAGCCTTCACGCAAAAAAGGTGCATCATAACCAAGTAAGTGGAAACCCTGTTTCGGATAACTGCGTTCTGATAACAACAACAAGAACATGCAACATTCTTCACTGACTTGTCTATGACCAACAATCCCTGTGATTGTCATTCAATATAAATTTGTTCATCACCATAAATATTTCAACCCAAAAACCGCTATCCATTACTTCTCGGATTTTGCAATAACTTAGACAGTTAACTTAGGAGATTCTCACTGCTATGGCATTTTATAGCTTCCTTGTGACTATATGACTTGTTGGGCCATTAGCAGTACATGCATATTCGTCGGTAGATAAATTAATGCATACATGATGGAACGACGAAGAAATGACGCGTCCACTGACCATTTATCCTTTCATGAAAAAACAATTCATATTTGCAAAACACTTTAATCATCAACATTAGTGTGGCTTGATAACATACCAGAACAATGAGGCTGATTGTAGCCTTCTCATGTTCACGTAATCACATCAGTGACATGATGGCGTATTATTTAGATACTTGACATTATATTATCAATCGGGGAAAAATTCTACCAGGTATTTATTTCAACAACTTCACGGTTCTCACTACTCTGTAACAGTAAATGTCACACAAACGGAGAGGGGCGGAATATTCAGGCTATCCCATTTCATCACTCCAACATCAACATTTTGAGAAGAAAAAGTCGCAAATTCATAACAACACTCATTTCACTTTAACACACTTACCTGGAGAAGCATGAGGACACTTTCTGAACAGGTGATTGCTCACAATGAAACCCATAACCGAATCACCGAGAAATTCCAATCTTGTTTCATTGTCACAACACAACCATGATGAATAGGCAGATGACACAAGTGTTCCATGAAAACAAAACAACAACATATGAAACAATAAAAAGAGATGAAAAGTCAACAGTGGTAAAACTTCACCAACGCATACACACATGATACATCAATTCTGCATTTATCTCATTCATTTAAGCACAGCAAATTAGGTACAGTCTACGTACAAAGAAATTCGCTCACAACCAAAATAAACAATGTGACCGAGACAATTCCCATAAACGGGTAATCATAACCCAATAACTGACATTCCCTGCTCTCAAAACATTACACAAACTGGCAACAATCATTGTCCACACTCACAAAGCAACATCAACACTATACAGCCTATTATAAATGTGTAACCAAGTAACCACACATACAGACTGTTTAGACACTAAAAACAAGTGTGTTTCATGTCTACACACACACCTTGTTCAAGTGCAAGATTAGATGTTTTCTTATCAATGCTTCTCCAGCTCATTTACTACACATTTCAACGGGTTGAAGTAGGTGGAATGGGATTGGAACTTGTCATCCATCGTCTGGGAATCGAGTGCTTACGCGTCTCTACAAAACTGCTGTATTGGCTTATGCTGGGTCGTAAGGACAATTCATCTTCAGAGTGGTTAAATTCCAAGGAAGTCAAACATCCACACAACAGACATTAACTCTCCCAGACTCATGTCATTTGTAATTACTTGTCTGAAACACAGCTGGTGTGATGACGTGCCAGCATTACAACTTCCAATAACTCCACACTGAAATTAATAATCACATTTATGTTGATTTTCTCACTTCATGGTAGCCGACGCGCAGTTCAAATTCAGACAGACTCCATTTCATTTGACATGAACTGCTTCTGATATGAGATGGTCTTTGTGATTTCTAAAATTCTTCTGCATAACTTCGATACTGTGAAATTCAACTTTGTCGCCTAATCCTATAACCAGTGCGCACTGATGCACTGTAAACCCGACCTTGGTGGTTAAATACTAAGAAGGTCTAACATCTACACGACATACATTAATTCGCTAAGCCCCGTGTCATTTGACGTACGCCACCCTAGCGTTCATGATACAGTTGGAAATCTTGTCCGTCATACCTCCGCCAGCACCCACACAACTACTCAGATACACGAACTTATCGATAACTTCAAGCAGTCCATCTGCTGGAGTGAGTCCAGGTGCACGCTCCTGCCAATCTTGTAACAACACCTTGCACTCAGATGGCGAAAAGCACATACTATACTTACAGACACTGATCACCAACCTATTACGCGCCATTTGGGGAGCCTGCATGCTATCGCACAATAAGACGATATCACCTGCATTCTCGAGGTCAAAAGGTCTTTCTCTAGGAAGCAAATCTACACCGTCAACACACACGTCTCTCACAGATGGCTCCAGAATGTCATCCATGGCAAAGTTTAAGATAAATAGAGAGATCGAACAAATAAGAATTCATCACAGTCACTCTGCATATGAATATTCTCATTAAAGATGTGGAACACCTCGTCATACTGGGACTCGTGGACATTCGGGTTGACTTAACGGAGCTGGAAAACCCTGATTCCAATGCATGCATTGGTTGCCTTGTGGATCTGACTTCAAGTCAAAGGCTCGGGGAGACAGGTGGCCGCTTTCATTCAACCACTTGCATCAGTCTACACGTTCGACCAGTATCTCACAACCCACACAAACTATCCGATTTTGTGTGGAGCATTTCTTCGTACCCATATATTATGTGCCGGATTTATGTTTTAGTCAATCAATAAATAAATAAAAGTGTGCACTACTCACTCAATCCAAGTTGCTAAATGTTTCACATTAAAGAAACACATATTTTAGAAGAGAAAGAGAAGAATGAACTACAGCTTACCTCTGATAATTTCCCCAGTGCTCTGTGTTAGTTGATGACTGGTGTGTCATAGCTGTAGCAAGTAATTCAATATTTCTAAAGCGATAATCCAATTTCAATTGTAAACGAAAATATTTCTCATTGAGATCTCGATATTTGTAAGTGGCCAGTGAATTCTGTGATGATGCACGGAGAAGGTGACGTCTGGAATTTGAACTGCTAGCAATATCATTTTCTGAGTGAAGAAGGTAATGCCATGGAGCATCAATCTTATATTCTTTGTCACATTTTATTGTATTCCAATTCACCAGACATATTTGAAGATAATGTAAGAGATTTACAGCCGATGGTAGTCCAATGTGTACTAGAAAACATCCTAACAAGGCTTCAATCATATCCGATAAAGACTTGTCATATAGGCGGGTACATAAACGAGCATCGTATTTAGAAACCTGTAGAAAAGCCAAACACAATAAATTGACACGACTTTTATACTCACTTACTAGAAATGAAAAGACCTATGAAAGCTATCGGAGAAAATACACTACTCAAAAAGGCATTTTACTAGCCAGATTGTCACCATGAAAAAAATCAACGGTGAATTATCTTTATTTATACAGACTTCAAACTGGACGACTGCAACAGTATCACCGAGTGTAATCCACAGGCTGGTGAATGTGGAAAATAACTGTTCACCCTGATAGGTGGACACACATGGACGAAAATCAAACATTCTAGAGGTGAACAAAATAGCAATGCGAATGATTCTAGAAAAATACAAGCAAGTACACCAAAGAACAAGTGTATTGTCTATTTGTCAGTCGACTGATAATGATGATGAATTTCCGAAGTGAAAACAGATTCCTATGTGACAGCTCGTACTTTCACATCTTTATGGGCACTAAATACGCACAGCGTTTGCTAGAATCACCAGAGATATGCTCACTTCTTCACATACATCTCTCGTCAGGTCGACACTGGAAAACTGTATCCAGGCCGCCAGTCCTTGTCTTAAGGGGGACTCACACATTCGAGATGCGTTTCAAAAGAGGGAAATACGTATGATTATTGGCATGACCAACTTATCATATGACGAAAGACTACACACTTGGAATCTCTTCTCCCTCCCGGTCACACTACAGGCAGAGAGATCTCATTACAACTGTCAGAATTTCCAATAATCACTACGCACCTGGTCTATTCTCTCTTTTCCCTACTACCAGACGAAATCGGAACACCTCAGAGGAAATACCAATTGAGATGAAAACTCGTGTCAGCGCCCTCAATTCATTTACTCAAGAAACCACAGAAATTCACTACAAAACGATTAACATAGGCTTCAAGCCTTCTATCCTCAGCCAATAAATCGGAATCGGAACTAATCACTTGCACGCTTTCTGTGGAGCCATCCACACACACCATGAAATTAGCAATCTCTACCACATGAGTTTTCAACTTGAATAACTATGCATATACATACATACATGCATACATACATACATACATACATACAGGAATTGAAATACTCGGAGCAAACGTGAAAATACAAACAAAGATTACCATCACAGCCACTAACCTCAGACGAAACAGTGTAGCACGGAGGTACAAAATGTTTTGATGGAAAGAATGTTTGACCAGTACAATATTCATACCATGCCAAATCTCGAGCAATATCACACAAGTGAGCATTTGATACAAGTGAATTTCTATTCCAGCTTAAGTGTCCTTCATCCGCATCCTGTGGACTGGTGCCGTAAACACTCAGTGTAGATATCAAATGCAGAAACGAATCGCCATAAAATTCTAAACGCTCAAGATTCACTGCATCACGAGCACCTAACAACGTAGTTGGCTCGATCAGGTCACTGGGTTGAGGACAAACTGTTGGAGCGCCTTTGAATTCCCTTGCAGCCATATCATCCATCTCCTGATCAGTGGTATTTTGCCTAGTTGGCATGTTACGCTGAGTCAAATACCTCCAGAAGATTGGGTTGGTTTAGTAGTCAGACCTATTCACCTTCCAGATAACGATCCTGGTATGTTTTCGATTTCAGAAGTGTGTTCGGAAACTCCTGTAAGTTGTGTGCCGCGGTATTTAGCTTCGAAACTTCGTAACACGAAAAATGAAGAAGTATCGGCAGTGATCTATTTACATTTCTGCAGAACGAAGTGTCCCCTGATGAGAGATCTACCCATTGATATTTCAATGCCATTGTGCAAGACGTCACGACTGACGTGTCATCAAAATTGCACCCAAGTTACTGTGGGTCTACAAAGAGGTAAATCAAGTCCCAAAAAGTCAAAGTTTGTATGTGAAGGGTGTTTAGTACACCCATTATCTTCATGGCTTTGGTTTCTGTTGTCTACGATACCTGCAGTTCCTTATCAGATGTCGAGGGCATTGTTGGCATCACAATTGTCCACAGAATTGGCCGCTGAGTTAAAGAATCCCCAACCATTCTGTCACAAGACGAATCCATCCAATATGACGGCTGATTATCTTTCTCCTGTAACCATTTTCGTGCCTGACCGTCTACGTGATGCTAACTTCTCAAACGGTGAACCGATTGACGCAACTATGTTTGATTTTAAAGTTGATGAACTAACTTCAAAAGAAGATCAGGAGATGGATGATATGGCTGCAAGGGAATTCAAAGGCGCTCCAACAGTTTGTCCTCAACCCAGTGACCTGATCGAGCCAACTACGTTGTTAGGTGCTCGTGATGCAGTAAATCTTGAGCGTTTAGAATTTTATGGCGATTCGTTTCTGCATTTGATATCTACACTGAGTGTTTACGGCACCAGTCCACAGGATGCGGATGAAGGACACTTAAGCTGGAATAGAAATTCACTTGTATCAAATGCTCACTTGTGTGATATTGCTCGAGATTTGGCATGGTATGAATATTGTACTGGTCAAACATTCTTTCCATCAAAACATTTTGTACCTCCGTGCTACACTGTTTCGTCTGAGGTTAGTGGCTGTGATGGTAATCTTTGTTTGTATTTTCACGTTTGCTCCGAGTATTTCAATTCCTGTATGTATGTATGTATGTGTGTATGTATGTGTATGTATGTATGTATGTATGTATGTATGTATGTATGTGTGTATGTACGTATGTATGTATGTATGTATGTATGTATGTATGTATGTATGTATGTATGTATGTATGCATGTATGTATGTATATGCATAGTTATTCAAGTTGAAAACTCATGTGGTAGAGATTGCTAATTTCATGGTGTGTGTGGATGGCTCCACAGAAAGCGTGCAAGTGATTAGTTCCGATTCCGATTTATTGGCTGAGGATAGAAGGCTTGAAGCCTATGTTAATCGTTTTGTAGTGAATTTCTGTGGTTTCTTGAATAAATGAATTGAGGGCGCTGACACGAGTTTTCATCTCAATTGGTATTTCCTCTGAGGTGTTCCGATTTCGTCTGGTAGTAGGGAAAAGAGAGAATAGACCAGGTGCGTAGTGATTATTGGAAATTCTGACAGTTGTAATGAGATCTCTCTGCCTGTAGTGTGACCATGAGTGTTTTGTTTCGGTGTCCTGCTTGAATGAAGTATGTTAAGCAACTGACTTCTGGTATTTCTTATATTCGCGATTAGTAGACGAAGCCCGAAGTGCTGTGAATTTCAAAGCAATGCTCAGTAAGAATGAGTGGAATGGTGATGCTTCTGACGAGAATCTTAAGATTGGCTTATGCGGATAGCTGAGAAAGGCACTCTTTTTGACTGACCCACGGATGAACTTCTACTGTCAGGAAATGTCTAATAGTGTTTTCGGTTTTCTAGTGATGTGACGGTTTGTTGATTGATTTTACACTGAGAAGTTTGATTTGATATGTAGTTCGAAGTGTATCTTGGAAAAAACCACACTTGCTACCCAGTGAACTGGAGTAGGAACATAGGGTTCAAAGTAAGGGTTTACACTTTCGGTGTGTAGAGATGCCTAGAATTCAAAGGTATGAAAGCAGATGGCTGTTGTTCATAGTTTACTGTGGTGTCGACAGAGATATTCAGCACTAGTGCTGACCAGGTGTTCAATTATCGCACTCCTCATTGCATTTCAACGAACGCCTGCTTCAAAGTATTCTACCGAGTCAAGAACAACATGTCAGAGGCAATACGGTTTCGTCTCCTTTGTATCGCTGAAGCTCTAGCCATTCACATGGAAAAACCGAAGCTGTGCATACAAAAGAAGATTACTCAACCACTTCTACTCTCATGGTAACAATGTTTTGATTTTTTTTTGAGTTTTTTATTTTCATTTTATTTTGATAACTTAATTTTGTCTCTTTGCCTGTTCCTTAGTTGCTTATAATTCTTGTATTCACTTAGATCTCTTACATAGTTTCGTATTATCTACTTTGTTTCTATGTGCATCCTGAGTAAAACTCACTCATCAAAATATTCATATTATTATTGCATAACTTCTTTTAACAACTGTTTGTGACAACTCATCACCTTTGTTACTATCCTAGCACTTAATTGTCTTGACTTATATTACCAACCTTTACCTGTTTAGTTAAAATTAACCTTAACCGATTGTAACTTTGTTTGACAAACTTAATGTACACATACATACAAAACAATGCATATATATTTGCGATTGTAGAGCTAAGAAGATGAATTCGCCGAAAAGAGACTCTTCGCTGATCTACGTGTTTTGTTTCATTCAAGCCTTCTATCCTCAGCCAATAAATCGGAATCGGAACTAATCACTTGCACGCTTTCTGTGGAGCCATCCACACACACCATGAAATTAGCAATCTCTACCACATGAGTTTTCAACTTGAATACATACATACAGGAATTGAAATACTTGGAGCAAACGTGAAAATACAAACAAAGATTACCATCACAGCCACTAACCTCAGACGAAACAGTGTAGCACGGAGGTACAAAATGTTTTGATGGAAAGAATGTTTGACCAGTACAATATTCATACCATGCCAAATCTCGAGCAATATCACACAAGTGAGCATTTGATACAAGTGAATTTCTATTCCAGCTTAAGTGTCCTTCATCCGCATCCTGTGGACTGGTGCCGTAAACACTCAGTGTAGATATCAAATGCAGAAACGAATCGCCATAAAATTCTAAACGCTCAAGATTTACTGCATCACGAGCACCTAACAACGTAGTTGGCTCGATCAGGTCACTGGGTTGAGGACAAACTGTTGGAGCGCCTTTGAATTCCCTTGCAGCCATATCATCCATCTCCTGATCTTCTTTTGAAGTTAGTTCATCAACTTTAAAATCAAACATAGTTGCGTCAATCGGTTCACCGTTTGAGAAGTTAGCATCACGTAGACGGTCAGGCACGAAAATGGTTACAGGAGAAAGATAATCAGCCGTCATATTGGATGGATTCGTCTTGTGACAGAATGGTTGGGGATTCTTTAACTCAGCGGCCAATTCTGTGGACAATTGTGATGCCAACAATGCCCTCGACATCTGATAAGGAACTGCAGGTATCGTAGACAACAGAAACCAAAGCCATGAAGATAATGGGTGTACTAAACACCCTTCACATACAAACTTTGACTTTTTGGGACTTGATTTACCTCTTTGTAGACCCACAGTAACTTGGGTGCAATTTTGATGACACGTCAGTCGTGACGTCTTGCACAATGGCATTGAAATATCAATGGGTAGATCTCTCATCAGGGGACACTTCGTTCTGCAGAAATGTAAACAGATCACTGCCGATACTTCTTCATTTTTCGTGTTACGAAGTTTCGAAGCTAAATACCGCGGCACACAACTTACAGGAGTTTCCGAACACACTTCTGAAATCGAAAACATACCAGGATCGTTATCTGGAAGGTGAATAGGTCTGACTACTAAGCCAACCCAATCTTCTGGAGGTATTTGACTCAGCGTAACATGCCAACTAGGCAAAATACCACGGACAGGTCTGAACTTCACTGATCCACTAGTGTTGTTTTTAATCTCCGAAGACAATGAATTCGTACGACAAAGTGACCAATTCACAAGACTCTCAATAGCTTCATAATCTATAGTACATTCTAAAAGAATGAAAATGTAAAAGACAAAAATCAAGCATCAGCATAATAGGACAGACACCCTGGAATTACTTCTACAATCATTATTGAAAATTCATATTAGAAATGATCTAGATGTAACTCAGGTCTCTCTACTAATACCACAAACCCGCCACTTCACGTAGCATCTACGAATTCTAGTCTAATCTACATAAAAACACCTTGTACAAGTAACTAACTTCCATTGCAAAAGACACCTGACATGTATACATATACACAGTCATCTCAAAGCTCGTTGGAGGTAATCGACATAAAACTGTTGACCTAGCTTCTGTTCTTTTTGGCACTCGTTGCCAAAGTGTGTCTTCACCTAGGCACTGATTCTCTTCACAGACGACTCCAAGTCGCATCACACTACTGCAGTCACAGAGATGACGCCACTGAGTCAATCCGCTCGATGATTCACTGTATAGTTGGCCATAATGCACCTATCGATTGATCATTAGGGTATCACAAGTGCTATCAGTGGTTACTCTCCACACATCAATTGATGAACATAAAAACCAGTGAAAAAGCGTCCACCAACATAAACGATCATCAGAAACATTCACCTTGCATATTGTTAAATCTATTTTCAACATACACTATTAGGTGTTTATTGGCAGATCTGACTGAATAGCTCATAAAACTACAATAAACAAGAGAGAAAACTAGTACGACTACCACTACTACTATTAGTGATGGTGATGATGATAGGTGTCAAATATAAAACTTGCATGACACATTTCAATGAATTTCCCCAGAATGGTGAGCATAGTTTGATCATTTCAAGGGTGTATCAGTGACGATGTCGACCTCAGTCGTGGACTACTACTAATTAGGTTCAGTCATCAACAAGGCATTCTCATTGGAGTTAACAATCTCATTGGAAGATAACCACTCAAACTAGTTAAAAAAAAATATGGACAGTTTTAATGCAGACCATAGAATTCAAACACGCATGCAATATTTCTACGCCATTTACATAAATATGATGTGTGCAGCTCATATTGCATATTTCATCTACACTGTCAATATCGTTTTATAAAAGTCCGAATGATAGCGACCGACCACTTCAATGCTATGGTGAGGCTTGCATACTATCCTGATCGCTGAGTGACAGTGGCTACGATGAATGAATGCTTCTGAAAATACTGTCAATCTACATAGGTCAGTTGGATAGCGAGCGGTAAATGACTAAAATTAACTGTCATTATAGACTTGACTACTTCTTCGACTGATGGAGGAAAGAGTCTAACAACAGTGAGCGGTTCTATTGGACAAACAACACTTAACTTATTCTAGACATTTAATCCTCCATTACATCTATGGTGAACTGAACAGTTCAGGTGAAGTCTTCCATAAGGACAGAACACGAATCGTGACATTTTAATGCACACCACATACAAACAACCAATCCCATCAGAAATCCTCATGATACTACAAACACGTAAACTCAATACGTTTTCCACTTTACATACAATCGATAGACAACAACTTGCAATATACGGACAGTCAGGAGAAATGAACTGCCTGAATATCTCTGTCGACACCACAGTAAACTATGAACAACAACCATCTGCTTTCATACCTTTGAATTCTAGGCATCTCTACACACCGAAAGTGTAAACCCTTACTTTGAACCCTATGTTCCTACTCCAGTTCACTGGGTAGCAAGTGTGGTTTTTTCCAAGATACACTTCGAACTACATATCAAATCAAACTTCTCAGTGTAAAATCAATCAACAAACCGTCACATCACTAGAAAACCGAAAACACTATTAGACATTTCCTGACAGTAGAAGTTCATCCGTGGGTCAGTCAAAAAGAGTGCCTTTCTCAGCTATCCGCATAAGCCAATCTTAAGATTCTCGTCAGAAGCATCACCATTCCACTCATTCTTACTGAGCATTGCTTTGAAATTCACAGCACTTCGGGCTTCGTCTACTAATCGCGAATATAAGAAATACCAGAAGTCAGTTGCTTAACATACTTCATTCAAGCAGGACACCGAAACAAAACCTTGCATGTTTAACTTCACAACCACAACACTACGCTCAGTAGAAATATAAGCGCCTCAGAAACATCCAAACTTCAATACAGCCATTAACACAATAAAGCCTGAAGATCTCATTTCTCACACAAAAGTAACATTAAGCTCCATAGATTAGACAAACGATACACAAGTTCAAGCACACAATCTATGTCAACACACTGAAACATCAAAAAACGACAAACAAAACTCATCAAAACCACAAATGTCAGCCCGAAAAAGCTAATTTAACGACAGAAGCATAGTAATTGCCAAAGCATATAACATTAACTCAACAGCAGTTATGGACAAATCAGATTACATTAAGAAAGTCAATCAACAAATTCAAATGCATCCCTATGAGGAGATTACGAAACCCACAGACATGCTTATCAATAATAAGGATCAAAACTCCAACAGCTGGTCTAATACACCGAATGAAGTCACCTCTGGGTGAGTCGACATGGCTTAACTTAGTGACCAAGACTAGTATTCCTAGTAGAATGCACGGCATTACTGTCAAAATTCATGGGACAGGATAATCTGCTAGGTCAATGGTCGACTTTAGGAACACTACAACATATGAACTATCCAAATATTTGGCATCTATATTATGCCCGATTAGATATCGGTCAGACTGCAGGCTGATTAACTTATTTGAAATGAAGTTGAAGCCAGGGGAAATTCAAATAGCAAAAGATCTACCTAGAGCTACAATTATCCCATCCGAAATGACTACAAGTGGGTTCAGTCGAATATGTATGTAGTTCAGTTAGGAGCCTAACTAGTTAGTCAGAGGATTTAAGTGATGAAATAGAAAAATCGAGAAAACAATACCAGTGAACAACTACCCACCAGGTTTTATTCAAGTGTGTGATATAGATGATGAAAACATAAGTGATAACGAATTCAAAACATCGACAGCACTACCATGTAAGGAAGGAACATCAGAAGACCTACATAGGAGTCTTAATACCACTGAAACTAGAGGGACATTTAAAACAACCCATTTACTCACAGACAAACTTTGTCACCTTCAACACTCAATAGACCTAATTAAGCGAAATACGATTAACCAGTAGACGAGGGTTAGTTATGTTATCAAAACATAGAAATCTCGCCAGGTCTAGAAACCTTGGCCACGCTCAGTTGAGTAGTCTCGAGAAAAGTTCCCCCATTGTTATGCATCCACTTGCGTGCTATCACACAGTAGGAAGGGACAGAGGAAATGTATTACCATAGAATAAATTAATTTCATGAAAGCACACAGTGATGCGGTATTATTTTCTGATGACGTTGCGACCACAACTTATTGCTCACAAACATTACGATGCTCACATAACTCTCAGACATTGTCCGTATGATCCCATTATTTCATATCTCTGATATTGGCGTGTTGTGTTGTGCTAGGCGTTGATTCCATCGACAAGGATCCACTGGGCGATCAACTTCTCCTTCCACTTACCTATATTACTTTTATCACTCTAGTGTTTGCACACAAACTCAACAACAAAGGGAATAAAATCTTTACTTCGGTCAGGAAATAAACTACGACGATTAGTTATATTAGATGGTTGGAAGCAGTCAGTATGTATATATGTATAATGCATATTATAGCCAGTGGTGAGGATCTAATTGATAAGTAAATATTTCCTCACTCAATCCTTTTGTCATCCAAATGTCCAAATGGGGATTTTCTTTTTATATTTAAAACCAAGCGTCACTGTCTTGGTTGGATACAGTAAAAAAGATGTCAAGCCTCAAAACAACCCAACAATGGATGGAGGATGACAATACAAATACGCTTTCCAATCCACCCTTTCAAACTGCTTCCAACAAATGGCTATTTCGTCATGTATTCAATAGTGCCAGTTAAAATCACCATTATTTGGACAACGTTGATCGATGCAAACTCACTCAGACCAGACTGCATGATATTCAACAAGTTCGTCTCCTATCCATGTAAGTCTGTCAAATGCTGACTGAATTTATCATTTCTTTTAAAAAACTCATTTAATGGAGGGAGAGAGAGAGAGAGAAAACAAGAACTATAAAGTTCACCACGTGCACACCGAGGGCGTGGCTATCATGATGTCACCAACGGCAACGAAGGCCCTGATGCAATGGGAGGCGATCTCGCCCAGGATAATGACCGCCAGATTCAACTCCAAAGGAAGGAAAGTGTCAGTTATACAATGCTATGCACCGACAAACAACGCAGACCTCGAAAAGAAAGAAGAATTCTACAGACAACTACAGGCAACAATGGACAATACTCCAGTCGGTGACATTAAAATACTAATGGGAGACATGAACGCCAAACTGGGACCAGACAACACAGGAAGGGAACTCATCATGGGTAGAGAATCTCTCGGAGAAATGAATGAAAATAGAGAACTCTTCGCCGACTTCTGCGCTTTCAATGAACTAGTGATTGGTCGCAGTGTATACAAACACAAGGATATCCACAAGGCTACATGGGGGTCACCAGATGGGCGAACCAAAAACCAAATTGACTTCATCTCAATCTCAAGGAAGTGGAGCAGACGTTGGCTCAGACCACTATCTCGTACAAGGGACAATCCAAGTCAAATTAAAAGCTTTCGGAGAAACAGGAGCTGCAGATAGACCACAAGCCAAGTTCAACACTCAAAAACTGAAGGACCAGGACACAAAGGACATCTTCACTGCAAGCATAAAGGACAAAGCTGAGAAACAAATCAACACTGGCGAAGAGGCCAGCGTCGAAAAGCACTGGAACAATTTGAAAACAGTGTGGAGTCAAACCTGCATGGAAGTTCTAGGCAGAAAGAAGAGTCAGGACAAACAGTGGCTCACTACGGACACTTGGAGACTGATGAAAGTAAGAGGGATGGTGAAACAAAAGATTATCCAGTGCACCGAAGAGCAACAAAAACACGATTTGAATGCAAACTACAAGACACTGAACAAAAGAGTAAACAAAAGTGCCAGGGAAGACAAAGGAAAATATTATGAAGCCATGGCAAGTGAAGCAGAACAAGCTGCAGGCAAAGGAGACCTCGCAACATTCTACCAAACAACTACGGACCTATCGGGCAAAAGTTTGACACAAATTAAGCCAGTGGAGGATGACAATGGAAAGTCACTCACCAAACAAGTGGAGCAAAGCAAACACTGGCCTGAACACTTCAAAAGACTCCTAAATCGACCACCACCTACAACGCGCCCAGCAATACCAACAACGGAGACAGAGCTACCAGTGAACAGCAAACCCCCGACGAAATCAGAAGTCCTAAAGGCAATCAAGATGCTAAAAGCTGGAAAAGCAGCAGGACCAGATGCAATCCCAGCAGAAGCATTGAAAATGGAGCCAGAGGCAACAGCGGACTTGATGACGCCACTACTGGAGAAGGTGTGGAAAGAAGGCAAAGTACCTGAGGATTGGAAGAAAGGATACTTATTCAAACTACCAAAGAAAGGAGACCTAAGTCAATGCAAGAACTGGCGCGGAATTATGCTCCTGTCCATCCCAAGCAAAATACTAAGCCGCATCATCCTGGAGAGAATCAAACAAGCCCTGGATGAAACATTTCGACCGGAACAGGCTGGATTCAGGAGAAACAAGTCATGCATTGATCAGATCGCTACATTACGGATCATCATTGAATAAAGCTTGGAATGGCAGTCACCTCTCTATCTCAACTTCATCGACTTTGGAAAGGCCTTCGACAGCGTCGATCGAGAGGTGCTTTGGCAACTACTTCGCTACCACGGGGTGCCACCGACAATTATACATCTCATCCAACAGCTGTACGACAATGCTGTATGCCAAGTAATTCACAACAGGAAACTCACGGAATCCTTCGAAGTGAGGACAGGAGTAAGACAAGGCTGCCTACTATCGCCAATGATTTTCCTGAATGCAGTAAATTGGATAATGCGACAAACAGCGGGCAATGAGGAAACAGGCATAAAATGGACTCACACAAAAAACTTGGAGGATCTGGACTTCGCCGATGATATATGTCTGATTTCCCGCAAACTGGAAGATATGCAAGTGAAAAGCAACAAGTTGACAGAAGAAGCATCAAAGATAGGACTTCAGGTGAACGTAGAGAAAACAGAGGTGATGAAGATTCCCGGGCAAGAACAACAACAACAGACAACAATCAGCATAAATGGGAGGAACCTGAAAGAAACAACCTCTTTTACCAACCAACATGGGAAGCATCGTTTCAACTACAGGCGGAACTGACGAGGATATCAAAGCAAGACAAGCTTTCACTACTCTCAAGTCTGTGTGGAGGTCAACAGCACTCAGCATCAAAAATAAGATCCGGATTTTCAACTCCAATGTGAAGTCAGTGCTACCATACGGATCAGAGACTTGGCGCGTCATAAAGAGCATCTCAAACAAACTACAGACCTTCATTAACAGTTGTCTTCGCTCAATACTACTCAAGATCAGATGGCCAGCAAAGATCAGCAACAGAGATCTCTGGGAGCGAACCAACCAAGAACCGATTGTGCAACAAATAGGCAGGAAGAAATGGAGATGGATTGGCCATACTCTGAGGAAACCATCAAGTGACATCACTAGACAAGCCATTGCTCGAGTGGAACCCGAAAGGGAAGTGGCGAGTTGGTCGTCCAAGGGTGACTTGGAGGAGGTCATGTGAAGAGATGAAAATGTGTGGGCAGACTTGGAGCCAGGTGAAGACTCTAGCAGAGAACCGAACGCAATGGAGACGCACGGCTGAAGCCCTATGTTCCTCTAGGAATTAAAGGTAACAAAAATAATAATAATAAATAAAGTTTACCTGGTAACTGAATTAATGTCATCAACGCCAGAATATTAGCTTTCCCAGGACTGAATAACAGATCAGTAAACCGATCGATAACTGTAACTGGGAAACTTTCAGGAACTTCATTTGGATCTTTCTGTTTCTCCATAAGATCGCAAAGAGTCTGACTCGATGGTTTGTGACCAACATGGGACAAATGGGCTATATTTGTAATCAGTTCACATATCACTGAGTGAGCTGATTTTATGCACTCCAATTCCCGTTGACTAAGTGTAAGCTTTCCCACTAATCGGACACGCGAACGAGCCATACCACGTGTCAAATACAAGGGAATTCGACAAACATATTCTTTCTGTTTACAAAAAGAAAGAAAAAACACCAAAGAGAGTTCAGCTTTCTTACTTAATAATTCCTGCTATAATTTCAGACTGCGTCAAATCATATGAAGCCAATAATGTGCAGGAGGTTACAAATGTGTCCAAGCGATCATTCACATTCATAAATAACACTCCATACTTAAGTAAAACCAACTTCCCTTCGTTGTACAGCTGTTAACTGATTTGTCTTGTGCACAATTTTCTTCATGTACTACGTTATGAGCCATAATCAATAACTGATATCTAACATGTCAACCCCGTGGAAGCAGATAGAGCTGCTCCAAACCCTCAGAATGTTCAGTAATATCCGTGTGCGGAAACCAATGAGACACAATCCCAGAATGCATAATAAGAGTATTAACTGCGAATTATTAAAACTCAAGATTGAGAAAGTAGGAAAATGATCTTAAGATAATTTTGAGACATTACCTCTTCCAGCTTCCTGCACATATTTGTCAGATAACCATAGCTTAACAAAACACTTTTCGAGGAAGTGTTTACCCACATATTCCAACAGATAAGTGTATGCATTTGACACAAAAATCCAACGGCATATAGTGCAGGCACAACAAAAGAAGACTTAAGTGAGCAGAAGTATATCAGCCGTGGAAATCCGAGCCTGGCGGAATTGTCCACCATAATGGCAGTGTCCTTTCAAACAAGATGAGGACTCAAATTCAGCTGGAGTGGTAACTCTAACATATCGACTAGTGTCGTTTAGGCTTATTCATCAGGGTGGGTTTGGAAGTGACTGGGCACTCGCCACAGTGCCACCCATTAGTCAATCACCACTTTCATGTTGTCGTCCACGAGAATACATGATTTAGTGGACTCAGTTAGCCAGCTAGTTGTAAGTGAGATTAGATAACTATCACAGTGAAGTTTTTCCATCACTGCTCAAAACAAATACTAATCAAGGTGTAATGAAGTGGTCTTACTCCTCTTTATATTTCACTGACTTCTCAGATCAAGAAAGTTAGTACTTCCACTACTCTAATTAAATGCAATCCTAATGATATCACACCACACATTCAACGCTGTATCCTGTAGTGAAGCTTCTGGTCCACAACGATAAAAGAGGTTCTCACTTATACACATGTGAAATAACACCTCACAAGGAAACGAGAGAAAACAAAATATTCCCTCAGAGATAACTGTTCATAAAAATGCTTAGAATCACCTTGGAAATCGGTTTCGAAAACAAAAGCCCAATAGCCCCGTCTGCCTTTTCGAAACAACTCCTCTCCGCATAGCAAAGGTCGGCAACGACATCAGGTGCAGGAACAGTCCACGTATACATATACACTGTTGTTCCGTGAGACAGTAAGGCTTGATATGGAAACGACAAGCATCAGGCACGCTAGAAATCAGAGTGGTCAAAAGTACTTAATTCACCTGGATAAAACTGAAATCAAATATTTACAATCAAAGACAGACTTTCTCCAATGCTAATAACTAACTAGTACTTCAGGAAGTGAGCATTCGGTCCTCCGTAACCTAAACACCACAACCCCTATGAAATCCTTTCTTGAGAAATGTGACATGCTGGTTGAACACAATCATCTTGGGTGACAAAACAGTGATCGGAGGCCTTCCACATGAATTCCCATTGAAAATATAGTCATGTTCACGTACCACTTTCCCAACTCATGACGAAATCTACGTTTTCATATAGCTGATTAATAGGGTCGTTAATCCAGGTTCTTAATCTACCAACTGAACGCCTTGATTTCTAAATATTCTATAGTGAATTTCATGAATGCCGTCAACTCTAAACCACACGGATAATCGTGCAATTTAATCCAAACCAACAGTTACTGAGCATCCATAAGACTACTTAATAGTAGATAAATTTACAAACTAGTCCTTCTGTCTGAAACAAACATGCTTACATTTTCAGAGGCATACATTAAACACTGAGTTTCCACTTGAGTGATACTTCTCCATACAGATGACTCAATTGGGAGTCAAGTCACCTGACTGAATTGAATCATTAAATCATTTCACACATATCAACTCGCAAAAGGTCAATCAGCAACACGTTCACAATAGAACAAACAGAAAACAAGTTAACTACTGATTACCGGAACAGGATAGAACTGAAATCTGATATTCGCTGCCTGATATTGTGAGTTCTCTTTATGGTCACCACTTGAACTACTGGAGGCAGAAACAGTAGGCGTTTTGGTCCCAAGTGTTAATGGAAGTAGCTCTTCTTCAATATTAAGAGGTGGAGGGTTATCACAAACTGGAGGTATCCACATGGATTCTACAAAGTACAATTGAAGAGTAAGACGATGTCTAAGTTAGACTGGAATATTTATTTACACGATATAACTCAAACAATCTATCGAAAAAGCAAGAGTTTAACACAGTCATTGCATTCATGAATGCACCACGACCAACCAAAGAAACGACTAGTCTGAAATAATTCTGACATTCTATAGGCAGTATATTCTGAAATTGTTCTGAAACAGTTTGTCGAAGCGCACAGAGTAGAACTCAGTGACAGTTTTCAGCATCACTGGCACTAAATCCGCAACCTGTGCGTTTTCTAAGCAGTTTATGAAGTGGCTCGGAACCAACTGGGTTTGCTAATCCATGTTGTTGCAGCTGACCAGCCCAGATTCGGCACTGACTAGCATTACTTCAGAACAAAGACATAAATTGGCGGATAGTGGAAATCTCCTAGCTTTATTTCAGCACTAATGGAATTATTTCACCTTCAAATACTACATTTAAGGTTTCGCCTCATTAATTAAGATCCCAGTGCACCTTTTAGGGATGACCGACATTATTACAGTACATATCCAATATCGGTTTTACAAGCTAGTATAAACCAATTTGATTTCTTTGTGCTCGCCTCGTGATTATGAGGTATAGGTTCCTGATCTTCGGAAAACTGCGTAGCTCATCCCGCCATTCGACTGTTGTAGCTTTGGTTGACTCCAAAAGGAGTAGTGCTGGGAATAATTATATGTGATTTGTAGTATGAGGTGTGTTAAAACTGTTACTAATGTGAATGGAGTTGATCCTTTCACCAGTTAGTTCTCCAGTTTCGTCGTCAAAAATAAACAGATAGTAATAAAAATAATAACATAGTGGGTTCATTTTAGGTAGATAAAACATTCATTTACTAAAAAACGCATTATCAACTCACAAGTTGGAATTTATTTACAATTATTGGGAAGGAGAAGACTAGCCTCAAGTTGATAACGTGGATCAACGAAACTTGCACTCTGATTAGGTCGACCAGAAAATCTCAAGCGAAACGATTAAAACAAATCAACATACACAGCAGTCGCAATACCCCTATAATAACTCTGAATAAGCGCTTATGAAACTAATTCATGCGACCATATTTTACTTTTACACAATCTGAGTTTACACATGCTTACCGAATATTCTCAATTGTATTATCGAAAATTTGCTTTCGATTGATTCACGTGCACTTCGCGGAGTTAAGAAGGCTAGCATTTGTTTTGCGTACTTCAAATATTTGATTTCGCTTACAATTCACTTTCCAGGTTTTCATCTGTGCCTGTGGATACAGCATTATTGGCATATGGCTGCATACCGCGTTTCGCACAAAGTGAAACGTGAAAATGTAGATAGATTACAGCACATTAATCAAATTTACATACAGTACACTGTGGAGTGAAGGCGGGGCTTAGCTTTTCCGGATTCCTCCCCGTCTCACTGTCCTGGTATGTCAATCCACACATGAATCAATACACAAAAATGACTACAAATTAGCTCCTCTTGATTCAGGTGAAGAAAGATCTTTCTCATGCAACATCCCACATTCGATTAGGACGTACTGAGACCGCCTAAATGGTTATTATGCACACTGTTTACAGATAGAGACAACCACTGCCTCATTGGAAGATCTGAGCGCTGTAATTTCACCTGCGCACACTGTTTGGCGGATTTTCGTTTGAGTGAGTGTTGCGGCTAATGTGTGTGTTGCAAGAAACCGTGTTGGCAAATTCTCTCTTTAAGGATCGAAATGTGGCAATGAACAAGGTGTCTCGAACACGCCGATCATATGAACAGGCGTTTCTACGCATAAAATCCACATGTTTACTAAAATAATGGATAAAGGCCGAATTACACTAGATATCTTTCTTCAACAATTGGCAAAAATACCTCCAGCACAACTTGATGTAGTTAAAAATCTTATTGGCAGAATTGACTCGTATACTGTATGCCCCAGCTATTCAACTGCTGATGGCCACTTCGAGAAATCCAGTGTGCCATAATTTGTCATTCTAATTCTTTGCGGTTGAGTTAAGGTTTTTTTCTTGTAAGTAGATGTTCTTACATTAGAGGTCAGTTAAGTGAATTGTGCTTGCTTTTCATCCCATTTTCAGAACAAATATCTACTACTGTTAATTTTTTTCCCACTATTATTAGCCCTAACCGAGCGGAACGAACGTCGCGTTGTGAGGGAACTTTGCGTCGATGCTGGAGAAGATGCTACCGATCTTACTCGCCTAAAAGAACAATTTGACTCGCTGACTGCTAAGGTTACTTTTTACAATTCTTATGAATTGATGAGTTGAGATAATTTGTCAAAAGAATGAAACCGTCGAGTTGACCAAAGACATCCTAGGAATTCTTTATGCAAGAGAAGTAAGTTAGTGGTCAAATATTTTCTCTTGGATATATTTCTTTGTATTTGTAAGGGGGAATGGACCAGAATCGTCTTCAATCAACTGACTACATGGCTTAGGCATTCTGGCTACCAAAAATCATTTTACCACCTGTCATTTACGGCTGATCACCGTGGGTAACTAGTAGTGCAGATGTCTTGGTTTTCCATATTTATATCCCAGTTTTATGTTTTATGTGGGATTTACTTCTCTGTTTTACTGAATTGATTTTTACATTTACATTTCCAATATTTACAGGATCACTTGACTAGTGGAAATGAAGAAAAAGAAAATTCTATTGGGGAACAGATTGGTCGACGTACTGAAAATAGAGACTGTTACTGATTTATTGTGCATTAGCACACTTCAAACATTTTTTAATGATTATTTGTAAAGAACATGTAAACATTTTCAAAGCCTCTTATATTTATTGTGAATTACTCGTCACTAGTTTCCTGTATGTTTGGGAAGTATTTTGACTTTTGCTGATGACAAACAGCGGTCGTTTGGTGACGTGATATTCACTGCAAGTTTCATTTGAGCTATTATTTGAAAGGTGGTGATTGAATTGATAAATACACAGTGAAGTAGCCAGAAGCGGTATCTTGTCCTTAGCGTTGGACTGGATGTTTTAAGTAAGGTGACTGGTTGATGAAATGTCTTCTTCAGACATTTAGAAAGGCGGTTTCTGAGACTTTCCGCTGCGATATCTCCTTTGAATTCTAGGTTCATGAAGAGAGTCTTCTTAGGAACCGTTGCGATGTCCGACACCGGGGGCTTCTCCTTCATGTTTTTGTCGATAAATCTTGGTGGATACCCGATGTCTAGTAGGCTTTCACGTAATAAATTTAATTATTTCTCTACCATGTCTCCCGAGCAGATTTTTCTAATCCTAGAACTTAATATACGTACCAGGTTTCGCTTTCGCGTCAGTGGGACAAAGCTCTGGAAGTTGATAAACTGTCCCGTCCATGTTGGCTTGCGATATATCGATCTTTGGATCGTACAGTCGTGTCTTCTGGTGAGTAATACATCGAGGAATGGAAATGCCATGTTAAATTCACTTTCTAAGGTGACTCTTATTGATGGATGTGCTGCGTTGAAGGTTGACTTTTCAAAGGATCGAGGATGTTGTTTTCGAGACTCGCCATGAAGCAGTCGGCTAGGAATGGACTACGAGGAGACCCCATGGCTACACCATCTTTCTGTACATAGAATCGTTCATTAAATTTGAACTGGATATTAAACGTACATCTGAGAAGTAGTACCTTCAGGTAGTTTATGGGAAGAGGAATTTCTAGGTTGTTGGTTTCGATGTAGTCACAAATGAAGCACAGTGATTCGGTCAGGGAGATGCTTGTAAATAGAGAGTTGACATGTAGTGAGATCATTCGTCTTTCAAACGCGTTGTCTGTCATCCTTCACTAAGTCGATGAAAGCAAATGTATTTCTGAAGGCAAATCTATTTCTGAGGGTTCTAACAGTTTGGTTAATGTTAGCATAAGTGAATTCATCAGTACTAAGTTGTTTTGGTGTGGGTAGAGATGGAAGTTGTGCCACATTAGTAGCAGGGTGTATATTGAGTAACTGGACTGTGGGCTTAAGGTAGTTAGCTGCAAATGTTTTGTTGATAAATTCACACATG